CAGTGGCTAATTTGGTTGATGCGTACGGCGCCTTGAATCCGAACGGCGTAGGGAGGACGGATGATCGCGTCGTTCCATCTCTTTCTCTCTCGCTCTCTCTGGTCCGCGAGGCGGCTGTGGGATTCTCTCCGCTGTTTATTTTCTGCGCTCGATCAGATTTCAATTTTCACGTCGCCATTCTCTGGACTACCAACAGCTGTCGAGAGCCCGTGCCTCCAAACACCACGTCATGTCCCCTCCCTCACTCCCCTCACTCCATCGCCCCCACCTCTATCTCTCTACACACACTCCCTCTCCATTTCACTCCCACCTCTCACTCCTCTCTCCCCATCCACCCCATCTCTCTCACTTTCTCCTAACATATCCATCCACCCCCCCCCCCAACTGTCTGCCTGCACAACCCTTCCCCCGTTCCTCATCTATCCACACATCGATCCCTTGAGCGCCAACTCCTATCGTTGAGGGGTTTTTTTTGCCGTGGCTTAAAAGTGACGGAGTGCCCTGCGTCGGTTTCATTGACTTTTTAGCGGTCGAATCATTCGCGTGGCCGAAGGTCAGGAGGTCGTTGCGACTCACGCCCTGAATGCTGTTGACGGCACCGTAACCTGCCCATGGATTCCGTCCATAGCGCTCGAGCCCGCAGCTGCTGCAAAGCTGATGGCTGACCTCTGAGGTACATTCATCCATCAGCACCGCCTCGGTTTAGGTCTTCCCCTTGGTCACCGGACTCTGGATGTCACTCCAATGCCCAATTTGGTCACCGAACTCTGGATGTCACTCCAATGCCCACTTTGGTGACCTCCTCCTCCTCATCCTCCTCCCTCCTCCTACCTCCCTGCACCACGAGTCCCAACCAGCGGAACCTCCTCTTCATGATTGTACCTTTAGCTTTACTGCCACATTCTATACCCAACTTGCAAGCTGTTTACCCTTCTCCTTCGCTATACTACACCCCGCCTCCACCACCCATCACGAATGAACCACAGTACCTCGCTCATCTCGTCAAGGACCATAAAACCATCACGCGAAAACCGGTCATCCTCACAGCGGCTTTTGACCGTCCATCAAACAAAGGCGGTGGTCACCGCATCGCGCGATCTTCGATGCGTTTCGGCGGCCGTCTGGAACGCTCTTTCATCCGATAGTAGGAAGCCACTGGATCTGTACACTTTTAAATCGAGGATGAAAACTCATTTTGTTTAGAGCTGCTTTGTGTGTTCAGTTTGTTGTCCTTCCCCCACACCTCTGATTAGCACGGTTGGCTACGTACGGTGGGAAAGAAGTTCAACACAGGTACATACGTACTTCAGAAGCTCTTCTTCACAATGACATCTCACAACATTTCACTGCCATATTCCAGTCACAACCTCCAACATTTCTAGCAATGATAGGTACTAATAGGGCAGAATCTTATTTTGTATAAAGTAAATTCAGCACGATCTTGGTGGGTTTTAGATGATGATGATGATGATAATAATAATAATAGCATAAATGTTTTTTTTTAATACAAGGATTTGTTTCATCGCATTAAATAATAAAGAACATTTTTTCAATCACACGTTAGAAAGTTGATAGTCTCAGCCTGTGGACATCAATGACTGCACCAAACAAACCAACAACCATTAGCCCATGAGGCCACATTTCGTTTTTGCACTTAATGTGGCTAAATTCCCGCCGTGAGTTCTGACCATCGTGCAACAAACGAGCTATCCCAGAGCAGAGTGTGCGGGAAGCGTGTGGCTGCATTCTGCTGCGTGGAGATTAACAAGGCCACTTGAAAGATGTTGACTGGGTAAATCGTGTGAAGCTTCAGCCGCTGTCTGCCACACGGGGGTGGTGGGGGTGCTGGGGGGGGGAAGCTGAGGGGGGGGGCTGGGGGAGAGGGGGGAAGCTGGGGGGGGGTGGGGGGAGGGGGGAAGCTGGGAGGATGCTGGGGGGTGGTGGGCGAAGCACATCCCTGCGATCATTCCCAATGGATTATGTATTTCATGACATTCAGCCGATAGCATAACAGGAATAAAACGAGCGGAGGGGAGGCGAAGGGGGGAATCTGGGAGGGTGTGGGAAAGAAAGTTGCCTTGTGATGCCACGTGATATCTCGTTACAGCCACGCAACCCCTTAGCTGACGCTGTGCCCAGCTTGCTTTCAAATCCCTCGATCCCTTGAAGGCCCCGTTGCCTTTTGTGGACGGCGTGGTAAAATTAGTGGACCGACTTCTTGTGTCCATTGCTTTTTATTTATTGTTATTGCCACTCCGCGTGGCCTGCTGTGGGGCTATTGCGTGCGTCCGTGCTGTGACGGTTTGCACGGCGTGGATTTGCAATCCAGAGGTCGCTGGTATTGAATCCATCTCCCAGCGCGGAATTTGTAACAACGGTGCATGCAGATTTCTTAAATCCCCTCCCACTGCCTGTAACCGACGTGATGTTATGATAATAGGATTTTCCTTTTTCTGGTAATAAAACCGTGTGTTAAGATGTTAAAACACCGAACTGATACCTTTGCAAGGAATCATGTCACTGCATTAACCACATATACTTGTGGTGAACGTGCAAAGAAAAAAACATGCTCTGACAGCATGTGCATTGTCTTTGAAACTGATTGGTCCACACCAGAGACAGCTTTCTTTAGAGCCTAGGCTCAAACAGTGGTAACTGTTAACTGTTTGAGACTAGGCTCTAAAGAAAGCTCTCTCTGGTGTGGACCAATCAGTTTCACATATTGTCAAAACAACTAATATTATTTTGTATTTTACCAGGTAACGCCACTTGGCTACACATCTCTGTTTCAGAAGCGGCCTAGCTATAACAAATGATAGCTCAACGAAGTGGCTTATCGCGTGGAAATGTACCCCAGCCACATACTCTGAACGCGTGTTTTTTTTAAATATGGAGAAAAAAAACGGAGGACCCGGAGAAAAATCCACACCACCATGGGGAGAACGTGCAATCTCCAAATATACAGCAGGCGTCAGGGTCGGGATCGAACCCACATCCTGCTGTATAATAGGCGAGGAAGTTAACATCTCCTAGCCACCGTGGCACTTATTAGGGATGATAACCAACGGACGGAACCGGTGATCGAATTGCAACCAGAGCGGGGAATACACCCACTAGCCAACCACCGCCGAGATGGAGCGATGAAATACGTTTTGTGAGCCGGAGTGAGATCGGTTGTGGCATCGGATGACAATAGCATGGGGGAGGTGTTCATCTAGCAGTGAATTGATCATGGCCGAAATGAGTATGATGGTGGCAATATTAAACATTGATTTATGGAAATGCCACAAACATTTGGCCGGTCCTCAGAACAGTCTCAATTATTTTCCTTCCGCCCGTTGGCAACGTGGGAACCAGGACCAGTGATCCGTCACGGCGAAGGGATTCATCAGCGTCGCGTGACCGTAAGCCGGCATCGTCCTGCACAGGCGGTGGCGTCGTTCTCCCAATGTTGGCCACGTCCGGCCAACCTTCAAAGGGGCCAAACAGATGAAAATGTTTTTCACGGAGGCTTTCGCGAACAATGTCATCCATAATACAGGCTTTTTGTGGGGGGTTAGAAACGTCGTACTCAGATTGTAAATGTTGTGGCTTGGCTCTCCAACACACCGGTGTTGCTGCACTTAGTGACGAATTGGCCACGTTCTGTTTACGTGACAACCCTTGGCTAATTTGCTGTGTCGGGTGGTGGCGGGTTTAACGACACATTTAGATATGTACGCGATCTGACCCCAAAAAAACAACCTGTATTATGGAAGACGAAAATGTTCCACGTGCCAGATCTGGGCTGCGAGGCGGATTGGGCAGCGGAGGCCACCCAAGCTGGCCGGGTAATCAGCAGCCGTTGTCCAGCAGTGGACAGACCATGGCTGATGATGAAGATGACGATGATGTATCAGTGGAAGGCAAGTGGTGCGGTGGTGAAACCGCGTCGTGCACAATCATAAAGTTGCGGATTCAAATCCCGTGGTCGATCAAATGGGTGCCACTTTCTCGGGAAGGCAGTCGTGGTCTTATGGATAGAGTGGGCCCTGCTGTGGGAATGTGGAATTTACACCACTCGCTCGGGGGGGGGGAGGGGGGGGTAGACTGTTAACAGAAGTCGAGCGTCGGCTCGGATTAATTTCTCACCGAGTATATTCCGAGTCGCGACTGGACTGGAGTAAGCGTCACGTGCCATTGCGAGAAAAAAACATTCCGCCGTGCTGTTGCTGAGCCAGAGAGACGCAACTGAATTTAACCCCTTGTGCCACCCCACTATCACGTGAGCAAATCCCCATGTCCCTCTGTCCACGCAACCCCTTTCCCCCCTGTTCCCATCTCGCCGTACCCCCCATGCCCCCATGCCCCCCTGTCCCCATGCCCCTTGTCCCCGTATGCCTATCTCCCCATGCCCCTGTGTCCCCCGTGTCCTCATACCCTGAGTCCTCTTTGCCGCTGTGTCCCCACGTCCCCGTGTCCCCTTGTCCCAATGCCTCCACGTGCGTTGAACTTCGTTTTGCACCGCGCGTAGACAAACCCGTGCTGCCACGTCCTCCGCCTTCTCCGCTTGTCTCCACGTTCCCATGCCACCTGTCTCCACGTTCCCATGCCACCTGTCTCCACGTTCCCATGCCACCTGTCTTCACGTTCCCATGCCACCTGTCTCCACGTTCCCATGCCACCTGTCTTCACGTTCCCATGCCACCTGTCTCCACGTTCCCATGCCACCTGTCTCCACGTTCCCATGCCACCTGTCTCCACGTTCCCATGCCACCTGTCTCCACGTTCCCATGCCACCTGTCTCCACGTTCCCATGCCACCTGTCTCCACGTTCCCATGCCACCTGTCTCCACGTTCCCATGCCACCTGTCTCCACGTTCCCATGCCACTTGTCTCCACGTTCCCATGCCACCTGTCTCCACGTTCCCATGCCACCTGTCTCCACGTTCCCATGCCACCTGTCTCCACGTTCCCATGCCACCGCGATGCCAATATCCCCATGCCCCCTTGTGTGCCAGGGCTCCGCAGGGAGGGTCACGAACGGGGACCGTGCCCTCGCCAATGCAGGCGGCCGTCTCGTGCCGTACTACGGCCGCACCGATCCAGGTAACCGGGGGCGGCTCCTGGGGAGGGACTGCCGATCTCACTGCGCCACTCGTAGACACAGACGCCGCGCCCGGCCGCCTTTGTCTCCCCAGTGCTGATGCTTACACACACACCGCAGCGGGTGACGCATTTCAGGCTGAGTGGACCTAGAGGAGGCCCCCAGGACCGCTTAGGATAATCACCACTGTTGTTGTTGTTGTTGTTTTTGGCCGTGAACAGGGATCGAACTCATGTTGCCGGGTTCGTGCTAACGGCTACACCACCGCACCCCTCCCCCACACACATTTACTCACCTCGGCGTATTGCGCAATACGATAAAACTGAGAACAATGTTGACTTGGCAACCGCTCAAACTCGGGCACGATTTTTCACGTTCATTTTGGATAACCTCGCAGGAGACCGATCGGCTCAAGAATCCAAACACTCCCAGCACGTTAGCCAGAGAGGAATTATCTCCATGAGGCCGTGGCCACGGATCGCGCCCTGCACTGTCAACCCCAGCAAATCCGGAGTTCGACTCCCGGCCACGGCTAACATCAGTGGCAAAAGTGACGTCTGGCGCGGTGCCGGGATCCCGCGACCCCGAGCCAATCGCCACCTTTGCCAATGCCTATTGAGCAGCGTGGTGAAGTATGGTCATGACCGACACGGTGTGAAGAAGTCCTTCGTCCAGCAGTGGAGAGGCAAAGGACTATACATTATGATTATTATTATACACATCTATGCCCATGGCCATATCGTTTTCAATGCATACGATCTTGCCAGACCACCGAGTATGAAACGGGTTGCTATAGGCTGCTGCGGGGCTACACACATTGGCAGCACAGGGCAGTGCAGCGAATTTAATTGTTGGATGGTACCACTGCTCGGTCTATGCGTCCCACCTTCATCGATCCGCACTGACCAGCCTGGTGAAGTATGGTCAAATAATCCCACAGCGTGGAGAGGCTGTCATCCAGAAGCAAATTGGCAAAAGGGTTGTAATTAATCATTGTTCTTAGTATTTCCATTTCTGTAGGCTTGCAGGAACACGTGTGTGTCTATATATAAATAGCGGTAGTGTAGTGGGTAGCACACTGCCCTATGAACTCAGCTGCCCGAGTTTGATTCCCGCTCTCGACCAATAATAGCGGCGAATATTTTAACCGTCCATGGGCCTCCTCTAGGTCGACGTAGCCTTATAAATGTGTACCTGGTGCGGTATGTAAACGTCAGTGCTGCGGAGACAAAGGCGCTCGCTCACAACACTTGCCCCAACAGTCTGGTAAAGGCTATAGGGGGATCTTTGTCTTGTCGGTGTGTGCAGAGCAGCTGTGCCGGCTGATGAAGTGCCGGAAACCTGCGGGATCCGTGTGCCACGTGGTGACCACGGAGAACGGCACACGCATCCCCAAATGCATGTGTCCTAAGACTTGCCCCGGGTAAGTTAGACTCCTGCATGTGATCACTCGTCGGGGGTTGGGGGTGCAGAATTCATGATCGATTCACAATGCACAGGGACACAAAAAGCAGTTCTAAAGAAGTTAGATGTGGCCATCTAACTTCTTTAGAACTGCTTTTTGTGTTCATATTGTCGTCACCCCCCCCCCCCACCGCACCTCCCATTAGCACGGTCGGCTACGCATGGTGCGTAAGAAGTTCAACATAGATGCGTACGGCCCAGGTCTGGTGCCCTTTGAAGGCTGGCCCAGGTGGCCCACGTGACGCTGCTGTCGTAGGGGGCGCAGTTGGCTCATGGTCATGTGAGGCTGACGCCCGCTGCGCTCCCTCCCGTACGCAGCCAACCGATTAGCACGGTTGGCTGACGCCCGGTGCTGAAAGAAGTTCAACACAAGGTCCGTGCCGTGCCGTGCGTGGTACAGCGAGCAGAAGGCTGTTTGCAGCGCGTACGGGCGGCAGTACGACAACGCGTGCCTGCTGTACAAGGAGGCGTGCAGGAGGCGCAGACGAATCGGCATCTCCTACTACGGCGAGTGCATAGGTGGGGCATGCGTGTCTGTGTGTGTGTGTGTGTCTGTGTGGGGAGCGATAGTGTAGCGGTTAGCGCGCTGCGCTATGAACCTGGCGACCCGGGTTCGATTCCCGCTCACGACCAACACCAGTGACGATTATCTGAACCGGTCCCGGGCCTCCCCTAGGTCGAATCAGCCTCAAATGAGTACCTGGTGCGGTGTGTAAACATCGCCACTAGGGAGACAAAGGCGGTCGGGCGTGGTGCTGGCCACCCACCCCCTCGTGTACCGTTCTGGCCTTCATAGGTGCTCGCTAACAGCACTTGCCCCTACAGTCTGTTACAGGCTATATGGGGGATCTTTGTCTTTGTTTGTGTGTCTGTGTGTCTGTGCGTGTGTGCACGTGGGGAGCGTTAGGGTAGCGTGATGCTGGCCAACCCTCCCCTTCGTGTGCTGTTCCGGCCTTCATCGGTGCTCGCTTAACAGCACTTGTCCCAACAGTCAGTTAGAGGCTATACGGGCGGATCTTTGTCCTTGTGCTCTATAATAGCTCTCTTACTCTAGAGTCTGCACTAGAGATCTCCACTGCTGAGGCCGTGCTGCACGCGGCCCTCGCCATGGTCACCCCGTGGTTCACCCCGTGGTGCCCTCGTGGTCCCCCCGTGGTCACCCCGTGGTCACCCCGTGGTGCCCTCGTGGTCACCCCGTGGTCACCTCGTGGTGCCCTCGTGGTCACCCCGTGGTCACCCCGTGGTGCCCTCGTGGTCCCCTCGTGGTCACCCCGTGGTGCCCTCGTGGTCCCCCCGTGGTCACCCCGTGGTCCCCCCGTGGTCACCCCGTGGTGCCCTCGTGGTCACCCCGTGGTCACCCCGTGCCCCCCCCCCCCCCCCCCCCCCCGTGCAGCCAGGCAGGGCGCGTGCTCGGACGCCGAGGGCGGCCAGTTCCCGTTCCGCCTGCTCGAGTGGTTCCTGCACCTCAAGGAGATCGACGCATTCGGCACCGTCGACCCCAGCTCCTCGCAGGCGACGCTCGACAAGCAGCAGCGCACGCTGCTCGCCGCGGTGAGCGGGGGGGGTTGAGTGCTCCCATCTCTTGAAACCTGCAAACAAAAACAAAAAAAACGTGCTGCTGTTTTGTTGAATGGCGTTGAATTATGTTTTTGTTTGACATGGAATATCAGCTCCGCACCTCCACCCACCTCCTCCCCCCCCACCCCTAACCCCGTGCTTGCGGGCCGCGTGGTTGCAGTGGAAGTTTGCGACGCTGGATCGCGAGGGAGACGGCGAGCTGAGCCGCCGTGACATCAAGGACCTCCGCTTTCGCCTCATGCCCCTCGAGCACTGCGCCGAGCAGTTCTTCCGGTGCCACGCATCCCTTCTTCACTCGCTCGCACCCATCCTTGACTCCCTCGTATCCCTTCCATCTCTCCTGCCGCCCATCCTTTCTCACGACTCTCTTGTATCCCATCCCATTCATCCTTGCTATCCCATCGCAGATCCTAACCCCTCCACCCCATCCCTCCAATCCCTACCGCCTCCAAACATTCCAACACCTTGCACCCATTCAATTCCTTCCAACGTCTCATTCCTCCCGTCTTTTCCCTCGATCCTGCATTCCATATCACCTATCTCTCACCTGCGTTCTTGTATCACATCCCTGCAATCTCTGCTCCCCTCCCCCCCCCACCGACATCAAATGAGTACCTGGTGCGGTGTGTAAACATCGCCACTAGGGAGATAAAGGCGGCCGGGAGTGGTGCTGGCCACCCACCCCCTCGTGTGCCGTGCCGGCCCTCATAGGCGCTCGCTGACGGCACTTTCCCCGAGAGGTATTTTAACGTTCTACGGGTGGGGGGTGGGGGGTCTATGCCCTTTATCTTTGTTGTGTGCGTGGGCAGGTCATGTGACAAGGACGACGATAAGATGATCTCGGAGGAGGAGTGGACAAGCTGCCTGGTGGAGCGATCTGAGAGTTGGTACGAGACCTTCATGTGTAAGTGCTCCGGCCCAACGGCTGATCTCGACTGTCTAACTTTCACTAGGCAAGGCCCGCTGAGCTGTACGGCGCCTTTTTCAAAGGCGACCTGGCCACTCGTGATAGCTCGACGAATTGGCTTGTCGTGTGGAAATAAATAGCGGCCACGTACTCTGAAGGCATTTCTGTACACGTGGAGGGAAAAACCGGTGGACCCGGACACGCAAACTCCAAATATACATGAGTCAGGGTCAGGATGGAACCCACGACCTCCTGTATACCAGGCGAGAGAGATTACATCTCGCCACTGCCTCTGTTTATCTGTCTGTGCATCTGTCTGGCCCTCTGTCAATAACGTGGAGGAGGGGTGGGAGGGGGTGGTGGGTTTCACGATAACTCTCGTAATGATGATACAATGCGAGTGAAACTCGGGTCCAAAAAAAAATTGCCTTACTGTTAGCGAAGTGCCCTCGAGAAAACCAGCCACGTTGGTCGAAGCGTCGCGCACACAAAAAAAAAATCGCGGACGAAAAAGCGGTTGCGAAAACTCCGTTAAAAAACCCACCTGTGTCTTGGAACGCAGGGTCGTTATTGTTCATCGATTACGTCTACTCCGTGTGCGGTGACGAGTCGCGCTTAAGAGTGCCATTGCGGGCGTTGCGTGTTGCTGTGCCGCAGCAAAGAAGATGGGTCCAGGCGGGGAGTGGATCGAGTCGTGAGGGAGCTGTCGCCGAGCTGAGCGAGGGATCCTCTGCAGCGTGCCGCTCGCCCCCTCGTCCAGCCCCTGTGTGTGACCCCCACCCCCCCACCCCCCTCCCCCCACAACCATTCACCTCCTCCGCCGTTTTCCTGCACACCGCCCGCTCGCACACTCTGCTCGAGGAGATGCTAGCCCAGTGGTCTTCATTGCCAGGTTCCGCGGGGCCACTGGCGGGCCCCTGGTGGCCTTTAGTGCGGGCCTCTGACGTCTTGTCGGCGAAAGTGGGCCCCCTCTGAAAACGAGCGAAGAACGCTGCTCTATAGCCCCTCGGTTTGAACAACAGGCAAGTTGGGCAAACTTCTAAAAATTCCCAGTCCCCACTGCCTCCGTCCACCCAGCAGAGTCATAATGGTTTGCGCCGCAGATAGTCGATCGGCAGGTCGCGTATGGCGGGGTAAAGTGTGGGTACTCTCACCTTTTTCCAAGGCGCCTTGGACGGCGTGGAAGAGTAGGCCAAAAGCAGCCTCGGGCGGAGCTGTCTAGAGCTCCCTCTGGTGGAGGTCCTTCTGCCGGCAGTATGCGCGAGCGAGCATTTGCAGGGGCTGCGCCTTCACCTGCAACTTCGAGCATTCAGTGACGCCCATCTTCATCGGTGGCCCTGAGCCATTGGTAGTAATTCCACGTGCCTATGACTGAGAGCTCATTGCATTCATTGAGTGACCACTCACTGTTGACTTCCCCACGCAAACGGTGGTGTTTGTGACTTTATCGACACACCCCCCCATCCCCCCCCCCCCCCCCCCCGGGATGAACCATGGGCTTGTAGTCTCCCGACGAATCGGCCCCTGGTTTTAAATACATCTTCATGCACCGGCAGGAATCCCGGGAGAGAGCAGGGCAGCTGGAAATCCTTTGGTCAGCCGACTTCTAAACTGAGGCGCCAGATTTGTGGAGGTGTCAAGACGCAAACCCGCCTTCGCCAACTCGACGGAGATCTGCTCGACCCTCAGTGTAATCCATTCAATCCGCGTTGCGTTCGAAGCTGGGATGTAGACAAAGACAAAAATCCCCCGGATAGCCTCAACAGACAATTTTTTTTTTGGTTTGGCGTAGGGTAGCACGTGCTGTTGGCGAGCTCGGTGTAGGCACACCCGCTCCCCAACGCGCACTCCCGGATATCGGCAGCGCAACATAGGCACACACTTTTCCCTGGCGGAGGCAAAGACGCACGCTCTGATAGCCCCTGCTCGAGACGCGAGTTGTTTTTTGTGCGCGTCTTTGGGTAACCGCTCGGCTGTGTGCACGGCAAACGATGGTGCGGCCCCACCCGGTGGCATTTGAAGTGTCGTTTAGTGGTGTTACTGACATCTCGCCACAATGGCGAGATGTTAACTACCTCGCCTGGTATACAGGAGGTCCGTGGGTTTCGATCTGACGCATGCTGTATATTTAGAGTTTGCATGTTCTCCCCTCGGTCACGTGGATTTTTCTCTGGGTCCTACCGATTTTTCCTCTCCACATTTGGAATCAACATCGCGTGTTTAGAGAGAATGTTGCTGCTATACATTTCCACGTGGCGATGAGCCACTCCGTTGAGCTGTCATTGGTGATAGCCAGGTCGCTTCTGAAAAAAAGAGCTGTATAGCTCGGTGAGCCTTGCATGGTAAAAAAAAAAAGAACAAAAAATAATTTCGCTTGTAAACGAAGTTTTAGTTGAAGCAGGGTGAGATCTCCAGAGATTCACGCTGGGTTTCATTCGCAAGAGCGACCCCAGGGGGTCACCAATTTGACGACAAGCAAAATCCAGAGAATTGAAATGTTGTCTCTTTGGCTCTCAGTGAGCAAAGTCACCTCCAGTCATTATTTTAAATCATCACTGATCGTCAGCCCGAGTCCGTTGAGAACACCAATTGTCCATGTTGGCTTAGTTCTTAAGAATTTGATCACTGGCGTGCATTTACTATGTTACATTTATGCAGTACACCTCGTCTAACGAATACATATGTATCTATTTACTGTAGTAGTAGTATTATTATACATGTCAATCGCCTGCTGGATGAAGGCCTTCACCACTCCGCGTCCGTCATGGGAGTGTTGTTTGAGCATACTTCACCATTTTAACTAACCCAAAAACCTCTATTATGGATACTTCACCATGCTGGTCAAGTCGGGAGAAAGGTGAAAGGGAGGAGGGGTGAGCCGCAAACCATTCCGGGTATCGCTTTCCACTGATGTTGCCCACGGCCAGGAGTTGAACTCGGGTCGAGCCGGGTTCATAGTGCGCTCAGATGACCATCCACGGTACTGCTGCAATCCGCGATATACAGTTAGAGAAATATTTGAGTCTGGGCGCTTTAAAGTTGACAAACGTTTTCCTTGCCTCATGTCATCAAATTCATTTCGGAGACATCAGCAGCATATATTTCAAGATTAATATTTATAAAAATTGAGCATGCTTATATATAGGAATATTTATTTAGTCCGAAAACATTTTATTTACATGACCACAGTAATTACATTCAGGATCAACAAAATATGAATATGATCATTATCAATTCAAAATCCACCTCGCATTCAATTCTCGACAGTTTAATTGCATCGTATCACTTTGCCTCGAGCAGCCTTCACACAATGTATTTCACTCAAAGTTACTGTTCAAGTCTGAATAACACATATTTCGCGCACAGAGTATGTGACTCGAGTTTCTCTCGGGAACTTTGTAGGCAGATGCGATGGAACACTTCCCAAATGCAGTTTGTAGGAATTAATCGGGATCTTGCTCATCAGCAGGTCCTCGAATCCCATCATCCCAATCGTCTCCACGATCACTTAACAGTTTCGCAAGCCTCAATTTATACGCCACGATGGACAATCCCGTGCTTACTCCTTGGGCTCCTGACCCACGATGGCTGGGTTAACCGGAAGGATGCGATCACAGGTTAATTGGAACATCATCATCAGATGCACCAAGCAATGCGAGGACATCCGTACATTTCAGAACAACGTGTATCTCGTGCGTGATCAGACCATGGGCACTGTCTGCGTGGCGATCACGCAAGTCGTGTTTCACCACGCCTTAATGTCACGTGCGTTGCAATAAAAACAACTATCCAAAACATCTCAACATTGCGATTCCGTAGTTGAAATTCCCTTCGATAATGTGTTTTATTTAAGTCACATATAGACTCTGGTGTAGTGTTGTCACCTGTCCCAGATTTCCCTGAATCGTTATTTTGTGTGGGTAGCGACTGCAGCCCTGAGTTATCGGTCAGTCTTCGCCCGGGGTCATTACAAGTCGCGTAAATGTTAAATAATCGACCCCCCACGCGCACACAACAATGCGCTTCTTGTACCGTGAGCGCGATAAATCGATTCGAACCGATGCATTGGCTACGACAAATAATCGGTAATGATGAATCACTGGAATCGATGGACGATCGATGGCGTATCGATGACGACGACCTTGTCACATGCTTTCCAAACATTGCACACGTAAAACTAAGCCGTCCTGAACTAATTTACAACAACGGCGACCCGTACAATGCACCCGCGTTACATGGACCTACCGCCGTGCCGTGCCACAGGGAGGGAGGTTGGTCAATCGTTTCAATTTGTTCCCATTGACGTGAAACGCTGTTGAGGTTGAACCTTTTGATCTCCTTAAACCCCGCTCACTCATCCGTTACCCGCGCACGTGTTTTTTTTGTTCTGTAAGTTTGTGGCTTTCTCCCACCCCCCCCCCCCCAGAAGCACACAGTTCCACTCTCTATTGAATTGTCCCCGGGGCCACACCGGGGGACCCGACGTTCACATGTTGACGAAACGGACACAATCACACTCGCCACCGCCTTGGCAATCTGTCCCATTCGGTGGTGCTTGGTGGTGGTTGATGGTTGTGGTTGAAGGTAGTTAGTGGTGGTTGATGGTGGTGGTTGGTGGTGGTGGTGGTTGATGGTGGTGGTTGATGGTGGTGGTTGGTGGTGGTGGTTAGTGGTGGTTGGTGGTGGTGGTTGATGGTTGTGGTTGAAGGTAGTTAGTGGTGGTTGATGGTGGTGGTTGGTGGTGGTGGTTCGCGGTGGTTGGTGGTGGTGGTTGATGGTGGTGGTTAATGGTGATGGTTGGTGGTGGTGGTTAGTGGTGGTTGGTGGTGGTGGTTGATGGTTGTGGTTGAAGGTAGTTAGTGGTGGTTGATGGTGGTGGTTGGTGGTGGTGGTTCGCGGTGGTTGGTGGTGGTGGTTGATGGTGGTGGTTAATGGTGATGGTTGGTGGTGGTGGTTAGTGGTGGTTGGTGGTTGTGGTTGATGGTTGTGGTTGAAGGTAGTTAGTGGTGGTTGATGGTGGTGGTTGGTGGTGGTGGTTCGCGGTGGTTGGTGGTGGTGGTTGATGGTGATGGTTGGTGGTGGTGGTTGATGGTGGTTGGTGGTGGTTGGTGGTGGTGGTTGGTGGTGGTGGCTGGTGATGGTGGTGGTGGTTGGTGGTGGTGGTGGTGGTGGTGATGATGTTGACATTTAACAAACAACGGCTAAAGGCGCAGCCCTGCAATTGCTTCTTCACCCCACTGCTGGTCGAAGGGCCTCGGCTCGAGAAGGAATTTGGCCTACTCTTCCACACGAGGCCGCACATCTTGGCATTGATCGAAGTACCCCATCAAACGTGACCTGCCAACCGAACTGCGTTGCACGCTTAGGAATGTCACGAATCCTCTGTTGCGAATGACCTGCGGACGACGGCATCACGGAACTAATTCTGAGCTCCATTTCGCTTCTCATCCACACACCAGGCGGTGCCAACCTCTCGCGTGCCCTGCCACAGGATGTGGTCATTGCGAGGCAGTCAAACCAATTCCCCTGCTCAGCGACAACGCGACGTTTAAAGAACACGAATCGCCGTCTTACGTGCAGTCATTGGCAACCCCCCGGGCCGAGACCACGACACTCGCTCTCCCAACGGAGAGAACGCGATTTGTCCTCTTCACGGTGGCGCGACTTAATACGCCGATTCAAACCCAAAGCCTCTTGCCTGTGCTGGTTCACTGCCACGTGCTCCCCCCCCCCCCCCCCCCCCCCCACACACACACAGCCACCCCACACACAGCCAGCTCAACGGGATCCCTGTGTCGTTTAATGAGGAGGGGTACCGCCTCGTTTGACTAAATCAGTGCAAGTGCCACTGCAGCTCGCCGTCGCCCGTTGCTGTTGCTCGACGTCCGACGTTTCACTGCACGTGCCCGAGAGATTATCTCCGGGAACGGAAGAAGCAGATGAAGAAGAACTTCCCAGCACGCGGAGCAAAACGTCGGACATCATTAAAAAAAACGCGGCACAACCCGAAGACACATCGCACACCGGTCCAATAAGATAAAAAAAAAATCATCTCCAAATAAATGTCGCTTATTCGGGCAATATTGCAACAACTTGTACATCCTGGAAATGCGTTACAGCCTGGGACCATAACTTCTGCTACAGGGGCTTATGACCCCTAACTGTGACGCGTGATGAGTTGGACCCCCTGATGAGTGCACGAACGCGGGGTGTCGGAAGAGGCTTCATCTTAAGTCGTTCTCGTACAGCGGATTTTCATAGCTTCCGATGTCGAGGACGGAGTTGGCAAAAGCCTGGGTTGGCTGGGCGTATACCCGTCGTCTAAACGCACGCGCGCGCACGCACAGGCAGACCCACAAACACACACGTGAACACACAAAAATACCCACAAATACACGTGCGCACACAAACACAACCACAAACACACAGACAGACCCACAAACACACGCGCGCACAAAGACAGACCCACAAACACGCACGCGAACAAGCAGACAGACCCACACACAAACGCCGCGCACACAGACAGACCTACACACAAACACCGCTCACACAGACAGACCCACACACCAACCCGCACACACAGACAGATCCACACACAAACCCGCACACACAGACAGACCCACACACAAACCCGCACACACAGACAGACCCACACACCAACCCGCACACACAGACAGACCCACACACAAACACCGCTCACACAGACCGACCCACACACCAACCCGCACACACAGACAGACCCACACACCAACCCGCACATACAGACAGACCCACACACCAACCCGCACACACAGACAGACCCACACACCAACCCGCACACACAGACAGATCCACACACCAACCCGCACACACAGACAAACCCACACACCAACCCGCACACACAGACAGATCCACACACAAACGCCGCGCACACAGACAGACCCACACACAAACACCGTACACACAGACATACCCACACACAAACCCGCACACACAGACATACCCACACACAAACACCGCACACACAGACAGACCCACACACAAACACCGCTCACACAGACCGACCCACACACCAACCCGCACACACAGACAGACCCACACACAAACACCGCACACACAGACATACCCACACACCAACCCGCACACACAGACAGACCCACACACAAACACCGCTCACACAGACAGATCCACACACCAACCCGCACACACAGACAGACCCACAAACAAACACCGCTCACAGAGAGACCCACACACCAACCCGCACACACAGAAAGACCCACACACCAACCCGCACACACAGACCCACACACAAACCCGCACACACAGACAGACCCACACACAAACCGGCACACACAGACAGACCCACACACCAACCCGCACACACAGACATACCCACACACAAACACCGCTCACACAGACAGACCCACACACCAACCCGCACACGCAGACAGACCCACCCACCAACCTGCACACACAGACAGATCCACACACAAACACCGCTCACACAGACAGACCCACACACAAACCCCGCTCACACAGACAGACCCACACACAAACGCCGCGCACACAGACAGACCCACACACAAACCCGCACACACAGACAGACCCACACACAAACCCGCACACACAGACAGACCCACACACAAACCCCGCTAACACAGACAGACCCACACACCAACCCGCACACACAGACAGACCCACACACCAACCCGCACACACAGACAGACCCACACACCAACCCGCACACACAGACAGACCCACACACAAACCCGCACACACAGACAGACCCACACACCAACCCGCACACACAGACAGACCCACACACAAACCCGCACACACAGACAGACCCACACGCAAACCCGCACACACAGACAGACCCACACACAAACACCACTCACACAGACAGACCCACACACCAACCCGCACACACAGACAGATCCACACACAAACACCGCTCACACAGACAGACCCACACACCAACCCGCACACACAGACAGACCCACACACCAACCCGCACACACAGACAGACCCACACACAAACCCGCACACACAGACAGACCCACACACCAACCCGCACACACAGACAGATCCACAAACAAACACCGCTCACACAGACAGATCCACACACAAACACCGCTCACACAGACAGACCCACACACAAACACCGCTCACACAGACAGACCCACACACAAACCCGCACACACAGACAGACCCACACACAAACCCGCACACACAGAAAGACCCACACACAAACACCGCACACACAGACAGATCCACACACAAACACCGCTCACACAGACAGATCCACACACAAACCCGCACACACAGACAGACCCACACACCAACCCGCACACACAGACAGACCCACAAACAAACACCGCTCACAGACAGACCCACACACCAACTCACACACACAGACAGACCCACACACCAACCCGCACACACAGACCCACACACCAACCCGCACACACAGACAGACCCACACACAAACCCGCACAGACAGACCCACACACAAACACCGCTCACACAGACAGACCCACACACCAACCCGCACACACAGACAGACCCACACACCAACCCGCACACACAGACAGACCCACACACAAACACCGCTCACACAGACAGACCCACACACCAACCCGCACACACAGACAGACCCACACACCAACCCGCACACACAAACAGATCCACACACAAACACCGCTCACACAGACAGATCCACACACAAACACCGCTCACACAGACAGACCCACACACAAACACCGCTCACACAGACAGACCCACACACAAACACCGCTCACACAGACAGACCCACACACAAACCCGCACACACAGACAGATCCACACACAAACACCGCTCACACAGACAGACCCACACACCAACCCGCACACACAGACAGACCCACACACAAACCCGCACACACAGACAGACCCACACACAAACCCGCACACACAGACAGACCCACACACAAACACCGCACACACAGACAGAGCCACACACAAACACCGCTCACACAGACAGATCCACACACAAACCCGCACACACAGACAGACCCACACACCAACCCGCACACACAGACAGACCCACAAACAAACACCGCTCACAGACAGACCCACACACCAACCCACACACACAGACAGACCCACACACCAACCCGCACACACAGACCCACACACCAACCCGCACACACAGACAGACCCACACACCAACCCGCACACACAGACAGACCCACACACCAACCCGCACACACAGACAGACCCACACACAAACCTGCACACACAGACAGACCCACACGCAAACCCGCACACACAGACAGACCCACACACAAACACCACTCACACAGACAGACCCACACACCAACCCGCACACACAGACAGATCCACACACAAACACCGCTCACACAGACAGACCCACACACCAACCCGCACACACAGACAGACCCACACACCAACCCGCACACACAGACAGACCCACACACCAACCCGCACACACAGACAGACCACACACCAACCCGCACACACAGACAGATCCACAAACAAACACCGCTCACACAGACAGATCCACACACAAACACCGCTCACACAGACAGACCCACACACAAACACCGCTCACACAGACAGACCCACACACAAACCACGCACACACAGACAGACCCACACACAAACCCGCACACACAGAAAGACCCACACACAAACACCGCACACACAGACAGATCCACACACAAACACCGCTCACACAGACAGATCCACACACAAACCCGCACACACAGACAGACCCACACACCAACCCGCACACACAGACAGACCCACAAACAAACACCGCTCACAGACAGACCCACACACCAACTCACACACACAGACAGACCCACACACCAACCCGCACACACAGACCCACACACCAACCCGCACACACAGACAGACCCACACACAAACCCGCACAGACAGACCCACACACAAACACCGCTCACACAGACAGACCCACACACCAACCCGCACACACAGACAGACCCACACACCAACCCGCACACACAGACAGACCCACACACAAACACCGCTCACACAGACAGACCCACACACCAACCCGCACACACAGACAGACCCACACACCAACCCGCACACACAAACAGATCCACACACAAACACCGCGCACACAGACAGATCCACACACAAACACCGCTCACACAGACAGATCCACACACAAACACCGCTCACACAGACAGACCCACACACAAACACCGCTCACACAGACAGACCCACACACAAACCCGCACACACAGACAGACCCACACACAAACACCGCTCACACAGACAGACCCACACACCAACCCGCACACACAGACAGACCCACACACAAACCCGCACACACAGACAGACCCACACACAAACCCGCACACACAGACAGACCCACACACAAACACCGCACACACAGACAGATCCACACACAAACACCGCTCACACAGACAGATCCACACACAAACCCGCACACACAGACAGACCCACACACCAACCCGCACACACAGACAGACCCACAAACAAACACCGCTCACAGACAGACCCACACACCAACCCACACACACAGACAGACCCACACACCAACCCGCACACACAGACCCACACACCAACCCGCACACACAGACAGACCCACACACCAACCCGCACACACAGACAGACCCACACACCAACCCGCACACACAAACAGACCCACACACAAACACCGCTCACACAGACAGACCCACACACCAACCCGCACACACAGACAGACCCACACACCAACCCGCACACACAGACAGACCCACACACAAACACCGCTCACACAGACAGACCCACACACCAACCCGCACACACAGACAGACCCACACACCAACCCGCACACACAGACAGATCCACACACAAACACCGCTCACACAGACAGATCCACACACAAACACCGCTCACACAGACAGACTCACACACAAACACCGCTCACACAGACAGACCCACACACAAACACCGCTCACACAGACAGACCTACACACAAACCCGCACACACAGACAGATCCACACACAAACACCGCTCACACAGACAGACCCACACACCAACCCGCACACACAGACAGACCCACACACAAACACCGCTCACACAGACAGACCCACACACAAACGCCGCGCACACAGACAGACCCACACACAAACACCGCTCACACAGACATACCCACACACAAACCCGCACACACAGACAGACCCACACACAAACACCGCACACACAGACAGACCCACACACAAACCCGCACACACAGACAGACCCACACACAAACCCGCACACACAGACAGACCCACACACAAACACCGCTCACAAAGACAGACCCACACACAAACCCGCACACACAGACAGACCCACACACAAACCCGCACACACAGACAGACCCACACACAAACACCGCTCACAGACAGACCCACACACCAACTCACACACACAGACAGACCCACACACCAACCCGCACACACAGACCCACACACCAACCCGCACACACAGACAGACCCACACACAAACCCGCACAGACAGACCCACACACAAACACCACTCACACAGACAGACCCACACACCAACCCGCACACACAGACAGACCCACACACAAACCCGCACACACAGACAGACCCACACACAAACACCGCTCACACAGACAGACCCACACACCAACCCGCACACACAGACAGACCCACACACCAACCCGCACACACAAACAGATCCACACACAAACACCGCTCACACAGACAGATCCACACACAAACACCGCTCACACAGACAGACCCACACACAAACACCGCGCACACAGACAGACCCACACACAAACACCGCTCACACAGACAGACCCACACACAAACCCGCACACACAGACAGATCCACACACAAACACCGCTCACACAGACAGACCCACACACAAACCCGCACACACAGACAGACCCACACACAAACCCGCACACACAGACAGACCCACACACAAACCCGCACACACAGACAGACCCACACACAAACACCGCACACACAGACAGATCCACACACAAACACCGCTCACACAGACAGATCCACACACAAACCCGCACACACAGACAGACCCACACACCAACCCGCACACACAGACAGACCCACAAACAAACACCGCTCACAGACAGACCCACACACCAACCACACACACAGACAGACCCACACACCAACCCGCACACACAGACCCACACACCAACCCGCACACACAGACAGACCCACACACAAACCCGCACACACAGACAGACCCACACACCAACCCGCACACACAAACAGACCCACACACAAACACCGCTCACACAGACAGACCCACACACCAACCCGCACACACAGACAGACCCACACACCAACCCGCACACACAGACAGACCCACACACAAACACCGCTCACACAGACAGACCCACACACCAACCCGCACACACAGACAGACCCACACACCAACCCGCACACACAGACAGATCCACACACAAACACCGCTCACACAGACAGATCCACACACAAACACCGCTCACACAGACAGACTCACACACAAACACCGCTCACACAGACAGACCCACACACAAACACCGCTCACACAGACAGACCTACACACAAACCCGCACACACAGACAGAACCACACACAAACACCGCTCACACAGACAGACCCACACACCAACCCGCACACACAGACAGACCCACACACAAACACCGCTCACACAGACAGACCCACACACAAACGCCGCGCACACAGACAGACCCACACACAAACACCGCTCACACAGACATACCCACACACAAACCCGCACACACAGACAGACCTACACACAAACACCGCACACACAGACAGACCCACACACAAACCCGCACACACAGACAGACCCACACACAAACCCGCACACACAGACAGACCCACACACAAACACCGCTCACAAAGACAGACCCACACACAAACCCGCACACACAGACAGACCCACACACAAACCCGCACACACAGACAGACCCACACACAAACACCGCTCACACAGACAGACCCACACACAAACCCGCACACACAGACAGACCCACACACAAACGCCGCGCACACAGACAGACCCACACACAAACACCGCTCACACAGACATACCCACACACAAACCCGCACACACAGACAGACCCACACACAAACACCGCACACACAGACAGACCCACACGCAAACCCGCTCACACAGACAGACCCACACACAAACACCGCTCACAAAGACAGACCCACACACAAACCCGCACACACAGACAGACCCACACACAAACCTGCTCACATAGACACGCACGTATAGAATCGCATCATTGACACATTTGGTATTCGTGTTTACAGAACCAAGGCGGTCACGAAAGCGCTAGGGGAAGGGCACAGTCTGTCGTAGTCTCGACTTTGATCTCCTTCAGGCTCTCCTGCATGGACTGTTTTCTGTAGGGTCTCTTGTAGGTTCTCAAAGGGTTTTGTGAAGGTTATCTATTGGGATTTTCCACAAAGGTTTTTCTATAATGAGATTTCCTCGAGAGTGTTCTTATTGGGTTACTTATCGTGCTTTCTGTAGGATTTACTCTGATTAATCTAATAGAGTTTGCTAGAGAGTGTTCCTAATGAGTCTCCTACAGTGCCATCTGTAGGTGTCTCCTAGAGAGTGTTCCTATGGGGTCTCCTATAGTGCCTTCTGTAAGTGTTTCCTAGAGAGTATTCATGTGGGGTGTTCCTGTGGGGTCTCCTATAGTGCTTTCTGAAGGAGTTTCCTAGAGAGTGTTCCTGTGGGGTCTCCTATAGTGCTTTCTGTAGGATTTTCCTAGAGAGTGTTCCAATGGGGTCTCCGATAGTGTTTTCTGTAGGAGTTTAATAGAGAGTTGTCCTATGGGATCTCCGATAGTGCATTCTGTAGGAGTTTCCTAGAGAGTGTTCCCGTGGGGTCTCCTATAGTGCATTCTGTAGGAGTATCCTAGACAGTGTTCCTGTGGGGTCTCCTATAGTGATTTCTGTAGGAGTTTCCTAGAGAGTTGTCCTATGGGATCTCCGATAGTGCTTTCTGTAGGAGTTTCCTAGAGAGTGTTCCCGTGGGGTCTCCTATTGTGCATTCTGTAGGAGTATCCTAGAGAGTGTTCCTGTGGGGTCTCCTATAGTGCTTTCTGTAGGAGTATCCTAGAGAGTGTTCCCGTGGGGTCTCCTATAGTGCTTTCTGAAGGAGTTTCCTAGAGTTGTCCTGTGGGATGTCCTATAGTGATTTCTGTAGGAGCTTCCTAGAGAGTGTTCCCATGGGGTCTCGTATAGTGCTTTCTGTAGGAGTTTCCTAGAGAGTGTTCCTGTGTGGTGTCCTATGGGCTCTCACCGGCAGTGTTCGTGGTAAATGAGCCCCAGGGTGACTAGGAGCGCCACCACCAAGAGACTCACGGTCACGATGGAGGCCACCTGACCTGGAGGAGGAGGGAAACACGAGTGCGCGTGTGTCACCACACATAGACAGAGATCCCCATTGGAGGCTTAGCAAACTTTTGGGGCAACTTGTGGCGAGTGAGTCGCACCTGCGAAGGCCGGCACGGTAAACGAGGGGCGTGGGTGGCCAACACCACGCCCAGCCACCTTTGTCTCCTGAGTGGCGATGTTTACTACTGTACACACCCTACCAAGTACTCATTTGAGGTTTTGTCAACCGAGGGGGAGGCCCAGGATCGGTTCGGATAATCGTCACTTGCTGGTGTTGGCCGTGGGCAGGAATCGAACTCGGGTTTCCGGATTCAGAGCGCAACTAACTCACCGCTGTGCTACTGTTGCCCACACACGTATACATGCCCCCTTAGATAATTATAATCAAATGATAGTCCTCTGCCTAACTAGTCACCCAGCCACTAGTGTTAGTCCTCTCACTGACCCTACTCTGACCAACTAGCCACCCAGCCACTAGTCCTAATCCTCTCACTGACCCTACTCTGACCAACTAGCCACCCAGCCACTAGTCCTAGTCCTCTCACTGACCCTACCCTGACGAACTAGCCACACAACCACTAGTCCTAGGCCTCTCACTGACCCTACCGTGACCAACTAGTCACCCAGCCACTAGTCCTAATCCTCTCACTGACCCTACCGTGACCAACTAGCCACCCAGCCACTATTCATAGTCCTCTAACTGACCCTACCCTGACCAACTAGCCACCCAGCCACTATTCCTAGACCTTTCACTGACCCTACCGTGACCAACTAGCCACCCAGCCACTAGTCCTAGGCCTCTCACTGACCCTACCGTGACCAACTAGTCACCCAGCCACTAGTCCTAGTCCTCTCACTGACCCTACCGTGACCAACTAGCCACCCAGCCACTATTCCTAGACCTTTCACTGACCCTACCGTGACCAACTAGTCACCCAGCCACTAGTCCTAGGCCTCTCATTTGACCTCAGGTCTTCGCTCATTTACCAGCTTCACATTCCCTATTTCCGTACAAAAACTGGAGGAAGGGCCTTTGCTATTGATGCCCCCAGGGTCTGGAATGCTATTGCCAATAAACTGCAACTTGAATCACTACCTATGAGATCTTCTCTCAAAACTGCTCTAGAGGAGTTGTACAACCCTAGCTGCCACTGCTATTCAGTGTCCTAAAATATGGCTCTAGATTTTGGTGTTATAATTTATTTATGTAGTTTATTGTTAAAAATTCGGTCACAGTCCCTATGATCACTGTTACATTGGATTTATGGCTTTTATTTTGGTGATTTCGAAAAGTTTTATTTAGTTTTGGCCATGTTTTTGTTTATTGTAGTACGGAGTTAGACTGATGGCTTTAATCTTAGTTGTCTTGTGGTTTGTTATTTGACTTGCATCCCACTGGGATTTTTGCACACAGCGTTGGTGTATGGTGCTATTTCAGGAATATTTTGATGTTTTTTTTCCTGTATTTTCTGTTTGCACAGTCACATAATCACTTTAAGATGTTTTCTTGTTCATGTTTTTGTTTGTTGCGGTTGCACCCGATTCAAGAGCCGAATGGCTCACAGGGCTATACCAAATAAATGAACTATGAACTATGAACTCACTGATCCTTCCGTGACCAACTAGCCACCCAGCCACTAGTGCTAGACCTCTCACTGACCCTACCGTGACCAACTAACCACCCAGCCACTAGTCCTAGGCCTCTCACTGACCCTACCGTGACCAACTAGTCACCCAGCCACTCGTCCTAGGCCTCTCACTGACCCTACCCTGACCAACTAGCCACCCAGCCACTAGTCCTCTCACTGAGCATTCGCTATACATCCAGCCACTATCCTTAATCTCTAATCAGCACGACAACAAATCACGGATTCTAAACACTACCCATAACCCCAATCAACTAGTCAACTAACTATACAGTTCATAATTCACGTGTTTGGGTTAGATCGCGTGATTTATTAACGTGTCGTAACCCTCCACCATTTATTTTAAAAAAACGCGATCTAACCCAAAAACATTTGCTATGAATAATATTGGTCGCGATAGCCTACGTGTTAAATTATCTATACAGTCTCACTCGTAAAAACTACTCCACACTCCTATTTTTGTTTATTTTACCAGGTAAAGCCCATTGAGCTACGTAGCTTTTTTTCGGAAGCGACCTCGACACAAATGATAGCTCAACAAAGTGGCGTATCGTGTTGAAATTTAAAGCAGTAGCCAAATACTCTGAGCGGACGTTTATTATAAGTGTGGAGGGGGAAAAATCGGAGGACCCGGAGACAAATCCACGCAACCACGGAGGAAGAGAGAGAGAGGCGCACACTCCAAATATACAACAGTCGTCAGGGTCGGGATCGAACCCACGACCTCCTGTATACCAGGCGACGTAGTTAACATCTCCTAGCCACCGTGATGATGCGAGAGAGAGAGAGAGAGTCAGAGAGATACACGCAAACTCCAAATATACAGCAGGCGCTAGGATCGGGATCGAACCCACGAACCCTGTATACCAGGCAAGGTAGTTAACATCTCCAAGCCACCGTGGTGATAATGATGAGAGAGAGGTAGACATGCAAACTCCAATTATACAGCAGACCTCAGGGTTGGAATTTAACCCACGACCTTCTGTATACAGTACCAGGCGAGGTAGTTAACATCTCCTAGCCACCATGGCGCTCTCGTTACAATGTCCCAGGGTGTGTGCGGGGTGATGGCACGTGCGTACGAAGGTGATCTATACACGTGTGTGTGTATCTACGTGTGAAATGACGTGGTGACGTGGAGTGAATAATCACGTTGTGTATGAATCTCCCTCCCCAGCTCTCCGCCACACGCGAACGACACGTGTTTGCGAGTCCGCGGTCGAGCCTTTACCTCCGTTGAGTGGCACGGGCATGTGGTCCGCCTTGCTGGAGTTCGCCGTCGTCGAGGTCACGGTGCTGCCCGTAGAGGTTGTGCCAGTGGTGGCCCTAGATGGGCCGGTGGTGGTTTTAGTTGTGCCCGTAGTGGTGGTGGTAGGGGGGGAGCTAGCGGATGTGGTCTCGGTCAAAGTGGTGGAGATGGTGTTGGTGTTAGCCGTGGTGGTGGTGGTGGTGGTGGTGATTGTGGTGATGCTTGTTGTGGGGTTGTTGGTGGAGCTGCCAGGTGAACGTGGTGTGGGTGTGGTGATCTGTGAGCTTGTAGCAAAGGTATTGGTTGTGGCTTCCGTGGTTGGGGCAAATGTACGTGTGCTGGTGCCCGTCGCAGTTGATGCTGGAAAAGAGAAAGATGCAGACAGATTCAGTTGCTAGCTTCACACGAGTTTAACAAAAATGATCGTACAGATAACGGTGATAAGTCTCCGCGTATAAAAGAATCGTCATCAATCGATAAACATCTTCGTTCAGGGTGACGCATTTTCTCAAATCAGTTTATTCCTCATAGCTTCTCCATCTCTCTTGGTCTTTGCTCATCCTTAATCTTACAATGCGCCTTGGAGACACCAGCCCAAGGCACCGTACAAGTCGATGTAAATCGTGGAACCTCTCTTGCCAGTATCAAAATATCCCTGCAGTCACGAAAGCTTTAAATCGAAAAATTATCTGATAAGATATGCATTGTCTTTGAAACTGGTGTGGACCAATCAGTAAGATAAGTCCAATGGTGGCTGCGGTCAAGAATTGGACTTCTTGATGAGACCTCCCTTGCCAGTATAAAAATAAAATAATTGGTTTTACCCTTGCTGAAAATAGCACAGTTGTGTTAAGATGTTAAAACACCAAACTGAAACCTTTTTGCAAGGAATCATGGCTGCGTTAACCACACATACTTGTGGTGAAGATGCAAACAAAAAACATGCTCTGGTAGTATATGATGATGCATTGTTTTTCAATTGATTGGGCCACACCAGAGACAGCTTTCTTTAGAGCCTAGTCTCAAACGGTGTTAGACCAGAAGACACCAAAAGGCGAAGAGCAGACAGGATTCCTTGCAAAAGATTTCAGTTTGGTGTTTTAACATCTTAACACAGCTGTTTAATTTCTAGATAGGGTAAAGCTTTTTCTGATATTTGAACTTCTGTTGGAGTGGTGGGCGACAGAAATTGTTGTACGCGGACAATGGGAAAGCTTCCCCCATATTCGCCACCGATGTTGGCTGTGAGTGGGAGTCGAACTCGGACCCGCTGGGTTCCTTAGTGCAGCGCGCTAACCGCTGTGCCACTACTCCCCGTACACGCGCACACATGCGGAGTCAGAAAGGGTAAAGCCTATTGTCATAAATGTTAAATATTGTCATTATGAATGTGTAAGCTAGACTATGCTCACCAACACCACTACTTACTCGCCACATGGCTCAAGTACACGAATATATCAAACTCGCCACACAACTCGCACACACATAAGCTCGCCACAGCTCACCAGTACCGGTTCCTGGACCTGTGTAACCGTTGGACATATGTGTACACCAGCAGTGGCTCGAACAGGCAATTGCAGGGCAGCGCCTTTACCGACGTTCCCTTGGAATTAATCGGGTCAATGCATATCCTGAAAGATGACGATCACACTGCGCATCGAATCGTACGTAACAATCATCAGTGGTTTTTGAACGTGTGATAATACCCTGCAAATCCGATGCTTCTGTTCGGCTGTAGGTTTACAGAGCAAGCAGAACAACGCAAATGGGATGGCAACAACAACAACAGGAAAACTAACAATCGAGCCTTGAATCAAATCAACGAGTCGACGAATCGTCGCGGGAGGCCTGCCTCCTTCAAAAACGCCTGCAAAATCGACGACATCGCTGCACGCGTCTTTGCCGCGCCAAATCGGCGACTGGAGGTGTTTCGTATATCAACTTGGCAGCAACACTGCGTCTCAGATGATTAGCACGCCCGGTCACGTCTGTCACTGCGACGGGGCCTGTCGGTGCGAGTGCGTGTGTGTTCATCACGCGTGCCCCCCCCCCCCAAAGGTGACAGTAATTCCTCGTTTAACGCGCGTGATGCGTTCCTGAATAGTGCCGCGGGGTTAAGCGAAAACCGCGTTCAGCGGGGATTTACTGAGTTACTGAATCACATTCGCACTTTGAAATCAGCCTGCAGTCAGCCGCTGGCGGGGTGAAGAACTGAGGGCACTCCGCCGCGTCACCGTATCATTCTGCGTACTGTATCACTCCGCTCAGCTGCGCAGCTCAAGAAAGTAGTTCGTCGTCGACCGCTCAGAAACCGCGCTATAAAAGCGCGCATCCCGCGTTACAACGGGCGCGCGTTTTTTTTTTTGCGTTGTTCTAAAACTATTCCCGAATGGAAAGTACCGCGTTGTGTGCGGAAAAAACCGCGCGTTACCGTAATTTCAAAATCCTGTTCGGCCCTCGGTAAGGAATTGGGTTCCGCGCGACTGCATGGGTGTCGATGGAACGGCACTCACCCACGCCGCCGCACGCACACGTGACCCACAGCAGAAGTGGCCAGTTGAGTCGCATCGTTGCCTTGGGGTTGTAGGGCGACTTGCTTCGCCGCGCGTTCGGAGCAGGGACTGGGAGCGGTCGCACCTCGGCAGTGACCTTTGGATGCGCTGTGGCTCATTATTTTACTGCCGTTGAATTTTATTTTTGGTATGTTTGCTCTCGTCGTAAACGCGAACGCTGACGGCGAGTCAAAGGTCGGATGCATCCATTGCCTTCAAAAAGTGCAACAACTTGCGTTGACTACCTCCGGATTAACTGTCCAGGAGGCAATGCTTTTTTCGGTCGACATAAGGTGGATTGCTCGTTGAGTCGCGTCCAGAATCTCCGTCGAGCAATGCACAAATGTTGTACATCGCTCGGGAAATGGCTGGCAAACGCCGCCTGCTCGAGAGGACTGAGTGAGCAGGCCGATTTGTTTTCGACTCAAACGGTTGAGAGATGTGAATTTGGCCGTCCCAATCGGTCAGAATTTGATCGATACATTGGGCACGTGTTTATCGCATCCGCGCCAACCATGACAGATGCGGATACCTGATGCAAGAAATGGAACATGGTTAAACTGTCCAGGAGTAGTCTGCGACTGTGGTCATCCAGAGCAACGTTAGACGACGCAATGCCCCGATCCGCAAATACGAAGGAGACATCGCAGCGATGATACCTTCCGCTAACTCCTGGCGCGGTTGTCTGGGCTTCACAACTTAAATATGAAATTGTTGTTGCTGCTCTGCATCTACACCAAGCCGTACGAGAGAAACAGAAGATGACGTATTAATAATAATAATATCTGTGTAGACGTGACTTTATTGTCGGGTGTTGGAGGGTTATTGACTATAATGTTGGCGTAAAATTACCACCGCCACGTAGCCCAACCCAACAAACGACTGTGGACGAGTGGTCGTGGTTAGGAAAACGCACGTTCTAAGTCTACGGAAGGCAGTTGTACCACCATTCGCTGCCAATATTCCAAAACGGGAAACAAGGAATCATTGGTCTCGTGGCAACACAATTGGAACATTCTTTGGTTCTTTCGGTAAAGTCACGTAGGTATAAAATAAAATAAATTAAATCACGATCTTTCGATTGCAACACAAACAAAAACAATGATTGCTGTGGTTTTCCCACCTGATGATGATTGCTTGTGTTGCAATCGAAACGTCGTGATTTAATTCATTTTATTTTATACCTACGTGACTTTACCGACAGAACCAAAGAGTATGGATCCCTGCGGTCACGAAAACTTCAAATCTAAATTGGAACATTGTATAAGGTGAATAGAAAATTAATAGATCACGACGTTTCGATCGCAACACAAGCAACCGTCATCAGGTGAAACAAACACAGCAGGAGAACTGCTGACGTACGAAGCGCCGTGATCTATTAATTTTCTACCTAAGTGACTTTACCGAAAGAACCAAAGAGTATGGATTCCTGCAGTGACGAAAGCTTCACATCAAGATTGTATAAAGTGACTTTGAAAACAAATCTAGCTAATGGTCTCACCCAGTCCAAAGGCTGTGACAGACATTATCAGTCTATTTGGTACATGCCTGCGCAAACAGCACGCTTTATCTCCCTTCCTGGGCCATTGGCAAGTGCACCTCTAAGCAAATCGAACTGTACGTCACATCCTGCCCGATTGGCCGCTTTGCCACGAGACACTGAACAATGAGGTCCTTATCCAGTCTGAGGTTCATCCTAGTGTCACTATTTACACACCCCACACAGCACTCCAAACAACAGCAAACCCACTCGCCACCACGGTTGACGTCTCCGCCGGTCTTGCGCCAGCCAAGGTGCGATCGGAGGCCGTGTGAAGTGTCGAACAATCGCTTGGCATGCGATTACTTGTCGGGCACGAGGTGTCGTGCGGTTGACTGTGATGAGTGGCAGATGCTAACAGCATTTGCCCCCAACAGTCTGTTAAGGGTTCATAATGAAGGTGTTAGATGTGTCGTAAACCTCCACCACCCGACGCGGCCAGTGCGGTTTGTCACGTAAACAAAACGCCAATTAGTTTACTGGCATAGGTTTACAGCAGTGTATAGTGTAGTGTATAGTGTAGTGTACAGTAGTGTAGTGTATAGTGTAGTATACTACTTCAGCCCACAACATTTACAATGTGAGTACGACGTTCCGCTGGTAATTACATCCAGCATCATTTTGCCAGAATAGTGAAGCAATCCACGTTGTTAACGTGATAAACCTTACTGGCTGTGTCGAGTAGTGGAGGGTTACAACACATTTATCCTTACGCGATCTAACCCAAAGACCTTTATTATGAATAATGTTGGTCGCGAAAGCCTACGTGTTAGTCTGTTAAGGAGATATGGCGGGATCTTTGTCTTTGTGTGTGTGTGTCCGTGTGGCTTTGTCCATGTGTATCTGTCTGTGTTCGTGTATTGTGTGCGTGTATGAGTGCACGTGTGTGTTAGCTGTTCTGTCCCCACTTTAAAAAGGGAGACCCGCACTGTCACCAGGGTAGCTCCCTCATCAGTGAGATGGGAAAGGTCCTGACAAGGATTTTTCAACATTGCCTTTCCAGGCACGCCGAGGAGAGGCTTGCGGAGCCTCATTGTGATTTCAGGCAGGGGCGGTCATTTACAGATGCTCAATTGTATCTCGTCTGCCTGTGACAGCAGAGGTGTAGGACATTTCAACAGAACCTACATACGTGATTTATTGGCCTGGTCAAAGTCAGCAGTAACATATAGAGGCCAGCGCTTTGGGGTGTAACTTGCCGTGCCGCCCCAACTGTATGTGTGTGAAAAAGAGCTTCATAGCTCATCGGATTCCACTTGCAGTCTAAATAAAGATTCTGATTCTGACAAAGGGTTCTCGGGCCCCTTTTTATTTCTGCTCACGCAGTGTGAAAATATCACCACCGGAGAATCATCAGAATCAAAATGCAAGAGGAATCCGATGAGTCACGGAGCTCTTATTCACAGATGTCCACGTCGGGTTCCGGAACGGGCGGCCGTGGTTTCAATTTCAGTTTTCAGTTTATTTTGGTATAGCCCTGTGAGCCATCTGGCTCTTGAATCGGGTGCAACCACAACAAACAAAAAAAAACACGAACAAGAAAAACATCTTAAAGTGACTATATGTGACTGTGCAAACAGAAAATCCATGGGAAAAAAACAACCAAAAATATTCCTGAAAAAAGCACCGTACACCAACGCTGTGTGCAAAAAATCCCAGTGGGATGACGTCCACAGCCACGATCCACGTCTAACCGCGCCTGCCGGCCCTGATGGGTGCTCGCTAACGGCATTGGCCCCAACAACCCGTGTGGGTTTTCACGGGGGACCCTGGGTTCCGTTCGTGCGAAGCGCAGCTGTCATTCAGAAGCTTCCCACCCCCACCACCCCCTCTTTCCTCCTGATGACGACCGCTTGCGTTTCATATTCTTAGCTCTTTCGGTAAAGTCACGTTAAAGGGAAACAATAAAATAATAAAATATATAAAACAATAAAAAAATTCTCACGACGTTTCGACCATAACACAAACGGTCATCATCAGGTGTGAAAAGCAACGGCAAGAAACATATATATTTTATTATTTTATTGTTTCCCTTTAACGTGACTTTACCGAAAGAGCTAAGAATATGAATCACTGCAGTCACGAAAGCTTTAAATCAAAATTTGATCGCTTGCGTTGTGATCGAAACGTCGTCGTTTTTTTGTTTATTTTACATTTATTATTTTTCATTATTCATTTAAACCTACGTGACTTTGGGGGCGTCCATAAATGACGTCATGCACCTGGGGGGGGGGGGGTCAGACATTGGTGACGATATGTGACGAGGGGGGGAGGGTTGAGAAATGTGACGTCACATCAAAATGCGCAACATTACATAAATATAGACAACACATTCTACTTAATTAAATAGACTTTTAATAAATGTTTTCTCCTGCAACATCAGAGTGCAGCGGCACATTAAATACGCACTACAATGACAATAGTTTAAAGCGATTTGAAGCATGTTTTATATATTTTTGGGGGGGGAGGGGCAGAGCTTTGTGACGTCATATATGAGGGGGGATCTGACTTATTGTGGCTCGTTGTGACGAGAGGGGAAGCGGGTCAAAAAACGTCCAAAATCGCGTGACGTCATTTATGGACGGCCCCTTTCCCGAAAGACCCAAAGAATGTGAATTTCCTTCATTCACGAAAGCTTTGTCAAGATTTAGCTGTCATACCCATTGCGTACACCGGAGGGTGCTGTGACACCGCCGATACTATCATGGGACCTTTTTGCCAGCATCAAAGTACGAAAAATAATATCATAGGAATTTACCCTTTCTGGCAAGGAATCAAGTCTGCATTAACCACGCATACCTGCGGTGAACATGCAAACAAACCCTGATCATTCATAATACAGGTTTTTTTTTTGGGGGGGGGGGGGTAGATCGCGTAATTATATAAAAGTGTCGTTCAACCCGCGACCACCCGACACAGCCAACTAGTAAGGTTGGTCACGTAAACAGAACGTGGCCAATTCGTTTCTAGTACAGCAGCACACCGGTGTGTTGGAGAGTAAATCCACAACATTTTACAATCTGAGTACGACGTTTCGCCAGTAATTACAATTAGCTTCATGAGGCGCACAGCCAGATTTGTGGATGAATATTCCTGGTTCGTCGCTTAAATAGAACGGGTAGCTGTGATGACGTCACTTGCGAGCCCTTCACGTGCGATGTGGTTGGGGACTAACGAATGGACATCAATTACAATGGGGGTCTCTTACTCGATGGTTCTTTCGGTAAAGTCACGTAGGTAGAAATACAATCAAACAAATCACGACGTTGCGATCGCAACACAAGCAATCCCCATCAGGCATCTCTTGCCGGTTGGGTTATTTACATGATAAGCAACGCACATTACGCATGCACATTACGCATGCACATTACGCATGCACATTACGCATGCACATTACGCATGCTTGTTCCTCCTATCGTGGTGTGCACAAACCTTATTAATTGGCTGTGTCGGGTGGTGGCGGTTTAACGACACATATAATTATGGATTCTATTGTTCGCGAAAGCCGACGTGTTCAACAAATGTTGATAATATGCGCATTGCATTTGAAACTGATTGGCCTACACATCAGCGACAGAAG